TCTCTCTCTCTCTCTCTCTCTCTCTCTCTCTCTCACACACACACACACACACACACACACACACACACACACACACACACACACCTGGCAGTCCTGGAACTTGGTCTGTAGACCAGGCTGGCCTCAAACTCAGAGATCCACCTGCCTCTCGGGTGCTGAGATCGAAGGAGTGTACCATCATTGCCTGGCTCCCAGCCTGTTCTTGAAGACAGACTTGAGAGACCGTGAATCATTTCACCTGTGAAATCCACTAAAGCAATTAAAGAATGACAAACTGCTAAATGGGGCTGTCTTAGGGTTTCTGTTGCTGTGAAAAGACACCATGACCATGGCAGCTCTTCCTTTTTTTTTTTTTTTTTTTTTGACGGAGCGTGGGGGTTCCAGACAGGGTTTCTCTGTACAACAGCCCTGGCTGCCCTAGAACTCTATGTAGACCAGGCTGGCCTCGAACTCACAGAGATCTGTCCCCTGCCTCCCAAGTGCTGGGTTTAAAGGCATGTGCTACCACTGCCCAGCCCATGGCAACTCTTATAAAGGGAAACATTTAATTGGGGCTGGGTTACAGTTCAAAAGTTCAGTCCATTGTCATCTTAGTGGGAAACATGGTGGCATGCAGGCAGACATGCTAGAGAAGTAGCTGAGAGTTCTACATCTGGATCCAAAGGCAGTTGGAACAGAGCGACACTGGACCTGGCTTGAAAGCCCACCCCCAGTGACATACTTCCTCCAAAAAGGTCATACCTAAGAGCGCTACTCCCTATGAGCCTATGGAGGCCATCTTCATTGGAACCACTACAAGGGCTACATAAATAGTGATACATGCTTACATTTAACAAAATGCCATTTTGTTACAAATACACAGGGCAGTGTGCTATTAACAACATGGATTTTGGGTTTTTTTTTTTTTCTTTTGGTTGTTGGTTAATTGTTCTGAGGTCTTCCCACTCTTCCAGAGGACCTGAGTTTAGTTCCCAGCACCTCTCCCAGGCAACTTCCAGCCACTTTATAACTCCAATTCTAGGAGATCTAATGCCCTCTTCTGGCCTCCATGGGCACATTTCAAAATAAAAATAAATAGACTGATATGTACATATGTAGGTATAAGTGCTGTGCTCGTGTGTGTGTGTGTGTGTGTGTGTGTGTAAATCAGAGGACATCCCAAAGGAGTTGGTCCTCTCCTTCCACCTTTTGGGTTCTGGGAGTCAGGTTCTCAGGCTTGGAGGAACTGCCTTTACCTGCTGAGTCTTGCCATCCCCCCAAAGACTGAAATTTTAGAACATTCTTCTCTTGAGACAGGGTCTCTGCAGTCTAGGCTGGCCTTAAACTGGTGGCAGTCCTCCTGCTTCAGCCTCCTGAGCGTTGGGATTACAGGCATGGGTCACCATTCCTGGTGTTGAAACATTCTGAGGTTGCCATACTTGCCACTGGTGGGCATAGGTTTAAAGCTGGGTGATAAATTGAGTTTCCTCAAAACAGCTGGAGTCTCCAGCTGTGCAGACGAAAGCCACTTGTTCGTCCTGGCTGCCCAGAACTGAAATAATCACACAGAAGCCATATTATTTAAATCACCGCTTGGCCCATTAGCTCTAGCTTCTTATTAGCTAACTCTTATATTAATTTAACCCATTTCTATTAATCTGTATATTGCCACAAGGCTGTGACTTACCGGGTAAAGTTCCCAGCATCTGTCTGTGGTGGCTCCATAGCTTCTCTCTGACTCTGCCTCCTTTCTCCCAGCATTCCTCACCCCACCCCACCCCTACCCCCACCTAGCTCTGTTCTACCCTATCAAGCCAAGCCAGTTTCTTTATTCATTAGACAATAAGAGCAACACATAGACAAAAGGATCTCCCACACCAGGAAGCCCCTAGCCGAGACACCCTCCCCACCATCCTAAATCTAGAGCAGGCATTTTAACAGCACAAATGGAGCACCAACCTTGTGTCTGCATGGAGTTCTATGTAATGTGTGCACACAGACCTACCCCTTTCGAAGTACTGCAGGTTAAATGACCGAGAATGTTGCCTACTGCCAGCTTTAACCCCCAGAAGTTGACCTTAAGGGTTCAGGGTTCACTTGCTAGATCAAGTAGGAAAGAGTTGCTCCTCAGGGCAGGTGAAGCCAATGTTTGGAACTAATGTTTGACAGTCCCTGGTGTGTTTCCGCTCTCAGCTCATCCTTACCCCCAAGTATGTTCTGACCACAGTCTCCCCGTGTCGCTTCCCCATGGCCTCCAGTCTTGTCATAATCTCCATCTGAGTCGCTAGCTTTCTGTCAGACTCCTCCCTGTCCCCACAGGTGCTCAAGGATCCAGAAGGTGTCTCTCTGTCATGAAGCTACAAATCTTTTCTCCTTCTTCCTTGATCCCCACGTAGACCACCATCCTGATTCCTTCTCTGGCCTGGCCATTGGATGTCTTCCCTCCCTGCCTTCTCTGGCTGTTAAGTGCCCAGTGATGCCCCACTGCAAACCCCAGGGCACAACACAGGTGCTTGCTGTGCATCCCTGGGCCATGAAGCACCACAGGCTTGCACAGTTCCTGATGTGCACTGGTCCACTAAGGCTCTCCCATGTTTTACACTGTTTATTTCATGCTGAGGATCAAACACAGGGCTTCCATGCTAGGCAACATGCTCCCCAACAAACCTAAGGCAGGGTACTAATAGGCCCATTTGGGGAAACACCTTGGACTAACATATACTTAGATATTCCCCCATGTTTTACGCTGTCTATAATGGAGTCAGACCAAGGTGAGGAGTTGGGGATCAAAGGAGCTTTTGTTTGTTTGTTTTTAAAAAGTATTATTAACTTCCCCCTACATTTTCTACCCACCCAGTTTTCCTGGAAGCAAGAGTCTTCGTTGGGTTATGCAATCACCAGTCCCCAAATTACCTCACTGAGGTTCCAGCTGTGAGACAAACCCTCTCCCACTTAAGGAAGTGAGGGGTGGTGGCTCTTTCCATCATTTAAAGGGCCCTACATATACTCTGCTTCCAGCTGGATGCCTCGCCCTTGACACCTCCACAGGTCACTAGCTGACCATTTAGGTTCCTTCTCCTGGACCTGGACAACATGCCCCTCCCCAGCCAGATGATCAAGGCTGGTCCAGAGAGCAGGGAAAGGCTGATGACATGGTATTGCATTCTTTTTGTCCCTTTTTTTTTTCCTTTTGAGACAGGGACTTGTGGCTTTTAACTCTTGAGGCTTCTGCTTCAGACTCGCAAACGCTATGATCACAGGTGTGCACAATACCCTGCTTATTTCATGCTAAGGATCAAACCCAGGGCTTCCATGCTAGGCAAGCACTCTACCAACTGAGCCACACCCCAACCCTGCATTTTATTTTTTGTAATTTATTTTTTTATTTTATGTGCATTGATGTTTTGCCTGCACATACGTCTGTATGAGGGTGCTGGGTTAACTGGAACTGGAGTTACAGACAGTTGGGAGCTGCCATATGGGTGCTAGGAATTGAACCTGTGTCCTCTGAAAGAGCAGTCAGTGCTCTTAACTGCTGAGCCATCTCTCCAGCCTCGCATTTTATTTTTCAAAAGGTCAAATTCACCGAAAATTTCAACTACTTTACAAAGAACTTTATCCCCAGAAGCCAATTTTGAATAAGTGGTTCACCTGGGCTCCCTAAAGGTGAGGACGTGTTCTACGTTGTTGGAGCCGGGATGGAAGCAGGAACTCTGCCGAGGGTGCCTTACATCCCATCAGTTGTCAACTGTGTCCTCCCGTGCAGAATTGTTTGTGGCGTTGAATTGTGTGTTCATCTCCTCCAGCCTGATACTGATGCTTGTGCAATGGCTCTCCATCTACGGAATCCCCAAACACTCACTGCTGGCTGGGTTCACACCATAGGCAGCTCTCTCAGGCTAGCTGTACCCCACTGATGGGTCCACAGCGTTCTTTAAGTATTTTGCTTTCTGGCGGTGTGACACGTTTGGGTTCATTTCCTGCCCCTCGGGTAGAATGCTGCATTCTGCGCTTACATGCCAAGAGGGCTCAAGGTTTTGGAGGCTTTGCAGCTCCAAGGCCGTTCCAGGGACAGCTGGGAAACAGATGTAGCTGCATGCTTATGTTAACGACACAGACGGATTTCTCTGAATGTGCTCATGTTCACAGGGGCTCGTTGGGAGCTCTGCTTTTAACCATATACTGCAGGGTTCGTTCCAACTTCCTCTTTCTACATGTTCATAAACCGCTTCTCTGAAAAGAAGCCTAGTTCCCACTGTCTTTAGTAGGGTCTGCGTATGTCATCAGGGTCCCCGTGGTCTCTGCCACCACTCTCCTGCTCACAGTTCTCCCTCCCGGTGCTTGGGTTCTCACACTGTAACAAGGCCTTCTCCTTTCTAGCAGTGCCTCCCTCCATCCTGCGGAGCTTTGATGTCCTTTGCTGTGCATCCAGGGGACACTGCCCCTGCTCCTCCTGACACTGCTACTCCAAGGCCCTCTGGTTCCTTTCTCGGCTCTGGTCCCCTCTTTTTCTCTGCCTCTCTTATGACTTCCAGACAGATTTTTGAGGAGAAAATTGTGAGGGAAGGAAGGTCTATCTTGCATTTTTTTAAATGAAAAGAAGTAACAAAATTACAAAATAATCACAAGCATTCTGTACCACTAAGACTGCTAGCTTGGTCACTGTCCCTTAGTGGCTAAGTACCTTGTAGACACTCTTTACCCCACTGAGCCTCAGTTTCCCCAACAAAATGGGAAAGGATATTTCTGTGGGTACAGAGACTCATTAAGCCAATGTCAGGCCCAAATAATCACTGGATGGATTGAGCAATGACAGCTATTGGCTGTCTATTAGAATCTCCTGAAACGCTGACTTTCCGGGAGGCTGGCCAGGCAACTGGGTGGTTGTCCACAGCAGTGTAGCTATGGCTCCCAAGCCTTTCTCCTTTGGCAGGCTTGCCTCACTTTTTTTTTTTCTCCTGTTTTGTGTGTCCTCAGCCAAGTTTTCGGAGGGTTTCCAAGACAGAGGTCCTTGTTTCCACAGCCTTAAGACGTGCAGCCCAGGCTGCAGTGACCACTGCTTTCTGACCCAGGCATTGCAGCCAGAAGCAGCAGTATGGGATTTTGGAGCACCTACCTTCTTTTCTGCCTCTTCATCTTGTCCCAGGTCACTGCAGAGTCACCCACCCCCAAGACCAAGAAAGCCACAAATGTCAAGAAAGGTAAGAAGGGGGCAACTGACCCTCCCTACCCTCTAGAGGCAGCCCTTCCCTCATCTTCAGGGGGAGCAGTCACCCTTCCCGACACTCTAGAGGCAGCTGCCCTGCTTTTGTTAACTCCTGCTCCTTCCCTTCATGTCTGATTCTGATGATTCTTCCTGGGACTTTGGTGAAAGAATCTGGTGGCTAGGGAGTTCTCGTAGCAGGGAAGGTTGTCAGAACTGCAAGAGTCCCAGACTCTTAGGATGGAGAAGAACCTTACAGATTTTCTAAACTGACATCTGTTCCCCTCTAGCACCCAATATGTCAAAGAAATCGAACCTCCAGCCTGGAGCTGGTCAGTTTCCATCAGGGAGCATCAGCCTGGGTTTTCTCAACTGTGAGCCCAAGACGGGTAGAATTCGCTCAAAGATTTGCAGCCAACATTTAATAGTGTAAAATGTATAAATTCTCCCTGGACAAACTTTTGCTTGGCACACACAGGGGAAATGGAGGACAAGTGGACTCTGACTTTCACCCCAGAGTGAGCTCAGAGCATCTCTGCTCTCCTCTGAAGTGCTGAGGGTGAGGTCATCCTGGGAGGAGTGGAGATGAACCTGCAGGATGTTATGGTGATGACTGAGGTTGTCACCCCTACAGGACAGGGCGGGTGACAGGAAGAGCCAGAGGTGGAGACTCAGAAACAGCTAGAGCCCAGTCAAGGTGTGAAGAATCTAGAAGCCCTCTGTGCCTGGATAGTGAAATACAAAACTCAGCACCTCAGAACCCAGGGCTACTGCAAAGAACATGCAGAACTCGGTTGAGAGGTTATTTGCCTAGTGTCTGCAAGGAACTGGGTTGATCCCCAGCATCACACAGAACCCAGAGTGGTGGTTCACACTAGCCCCAGTACTAGGAAGTGAATGCAGGAGGGTTATAAATTCAAGGTTATCTTCAATTATATAGCAAATTTGAAGCCAGCCAAAACTACAAAACCCTTGACTCAAAAAACAACAAAATTCCAGGAGTTAGAGTTAACATCTTCCTGTGTGCTCTGCTGAGTGCTTGCCTAGAATGTGTGATGTCCAGGTTCCATCTTCAGCACTTCAAACAAACAAACAAGCAAACAACAACAAACAAAACCGTGGTGGAGCATGTCTTAAATCTCAGTACTTTGGAGGCAGAGGCAGGTGGATCTCTGAGTCTGAGACCAGCCTAGTCTACATAGTGAGTTTGAGGCCAGACAAGAATACACAGGGAGACCCTGTCTCAAAAACAACCAAAAGCTAAGTTTAAAATGTAAACAAAATTCAAAACAGAACGGGATACTTTATTAACATCACTTTGACAAAGAGATCTATCACGAGGCATATGTATATGGAGAGGAACCCCACAAACCTGAGCAATTAACATGTCAATAATTATTTAGAAAATTTGAATGGACTGAGCTAAAAGCAATTATCTGTTGACTCTGTATAGAACTGTTCCAGAAAAATCTACAAAGATAGCAGAGACTACTCCTGGAAAGAAAAGCAGGGAACAGTCTGGATTGGGAAGAAAAATTTTTGGATGGTTCTGATTTCTTCAATCAGATAAATATATAATAACTCTACAAAATGTTCATTTTAAAGCAGGGGGACTGAATACCTTACGTGGTTCTCTTCTTGAGCACTGCCAACATTGCCACCAAGGCATGTTGTGTGAGGATTTAGATCCAAAGGCAAGCAGGATTTCTGAATATGGAAAGTGATTGCTAGTTTCTCAAGTTTTTCTCGGTCTTGTAAATCATGTCAGTTGTGGGAAAGAAGAGGATCGGTGCAGGGCTGCTCCTGACTTCAGTAATGACCCCACTCAAGCTCTGGACGTAGATGGCTCCCACGAGAGCTCAAACACCCTGGCTCAGTTTCCGACTCATGTTACTCACACGGTGCCCTGTACTGGTGTCACATATGATTGCACACAGCGTCTGTGAACCCAGAGGTTGAAGCAGAGGTACGGAGTGACCCTGGCTCCAACCCTGTCTGCTTTGCTCTCATTCCGCTGGGTGTTATTTTCCCCACACTTGATAAGTTATATCACTGATTTTTGTACATGCAAGTCCATGTCTTTTGTTTGTTCGATAATTGGTTTGTTTTCAAGACAGAATTTCTCTGTGTAGCCCTGGCTGTCCTGGAACTCCCTCTGTAGACTCCCTATCCTTTGCCTCGAGCCGAGTCCCACCCTGGGACTTCAGAAAGACAGGAGTCCATGCACAGCTCTCGGCTGACACACACGCAGTGTCCCTCACCTGCACCTGCTGGTGCACTTGTCATTCACCCTCGCAGGCAGTCCCTATCAGAGATGTCATGTACCATGGAGCCGACAGGAAGAGCACGGCTCAGTGACTCAGGCCAGCTGCTCTACCATCCTAGGCAGGTCATTTAAATCTGGCCTCGGTTTCCTTGTGAAATGGTGAGTACCCAGGATGGTACTTGCCCGTTCCTTAGGGCTGGCTACGAGCACGGCTGAGGAGGTGCACAGCAAGCCCAAGCCCTTCTGCAGGAGAGCTCTACCAGAAGTGGCTCCTCTGCTCTCCCTCAGTCATTCCAGGGTGATGTTTTCCTCTCCCACTGTGTGTGTGACAAGGTGGAGCAGTGCTGGTGAACATGTGTCCCTGTCACCCTCAGGCTGGGGCTTGGTCCACATCCTGGGGGAACTGACCTCTGTGATTTTATGGCCCATAAATGGAGCTGGTAAGATGGCTGTTTCCCCAACTCCTGCTACTCCCACCCTGACAAATGCAGGATAGGGAAGCCTGGAGAGGAACCAGGAACAGGCAAAAAGAGCCCACTGGAGTTCCGTAGGCAGGGGGCAGAGATGGAAGGATCACCAAGCAGCCTAGGCTGGGAGAAGTAATTTCTTGTCCCCTTGCCCCTTTGGGGCTGGCAGACAGAGAAGGGAGCTGTGCGCCTCGGGTTTTCATGGCCTCTTGCCTCTCTGTCCTAGATGTGGTGAGCCCAAAGATGTTTGAGGAGCTCAAGAACAGGCTGGACAGCCTGGCGCAGGAGGTGGCCCTGCTGAAGGAGCAGCAGGCCTTACAGACCGGTGAGTGGAGCGTGACTGTGTGGAGGGACACGCCCAAGAAGGGGCCAGGCTGGTAATGGGCAGAAGTGGGGAAGAAGGCTCAGTTTCCAGCCAGTGCCAAGCTCAGGAGCCTCTGTTTTCACACGGTTCCTTGGGGGAGGTTGCCTGACTTACATCTGTACGACCCATCTGGTCAGGCACAGCTGGGTCTGGTCACAGCTAGAGGGTGTGGAGCGTCAGTGCTACAGAGACCAGGAGGTACCTCCCACCAGGAACCTACCACTGCTCAGTGAAAGCATGAGCTCGGATCAGGGCCAGCCACAGGGGAACTGTATTGAGTGGTGTCACTGCCCTGGGGCGCATGGCTCCCCTCCCCTGTCCTCACCCTTCCTGTGTGCCTGTGCTTTACAGATGGCCTCTGAATCACAGTAACCAGGCCAGCATTTGTCAGTCCCAATGTTAAAGTATGCCAGCTGATGGGGGCTGGAGAGATGGAACAGCAGAGGAAGGCCCACAGTCACCCTGCTGGGCACTCCAAAGGCCAGGAGAGCCGGCCTTTGTTTTCAGACTGGCTAACCGCACAAGAGCTTTGGGGCCAGGCTGGCCCTCCTTCAAGTTGGTTGTCCCTCTCCACCATGGTCTTCATGCAGTCTCTACTCCCACTTTCCCTGAGACCTTGCCTCAGATCCATGGTGTGTAGCGAGCATATCGTGTGTGTGTGTGTGTGTGTGTGTGTGTGTGTGTGTGTGTGTGTGCTTGGCCTTGATCTAGGTGTACGAGTGTGATGGGTGTGCTACAAGTCTGTGAATACACACCTCCTTGAGGCTGACTTGTCAAATCCCTCCGAGACGTAGGAATGCTTCTCCTGCCTACTCACTGAGTGGAAGGGATAAGTGCATGGGGTAGGGGCCAATATTTACTCCTGACATATGTGACCCCACAAGTGACGCATACCCTATCTGCCTGATGGTTGTTAGAAATCAAGCTACGTCGGGTGGTGGTGGCGCATGCCTTTTATCCCAGCACTTGGGAGGCAGAGGCAAGTGAGTTCAAGCCAGCCTGGTCTACAAAGCGAGTTCCAGGACAGGCTCCAAAGCTACAGAAGGACTCTGTCTCAAAAAAACAAACAAGAAAACAAGAAAGAAAGAAAGAAAGAAAGAAAGAAAGAAAGGAAGGAAGGAAGGAAGGAAGGAAGGAAGGAAGGAAGGAAGGAAG